ATGGGAGTTTATTAGGAAAGTTAACAGGATCAGCAAACAGTAAGGATACAGTCATGGGTCCACAGCAGCACCTCTTCTCAGCCAGCAGCCACACCTCTCTGAGTCCTCGCCTCTTGGCCTTTGTGGTCCAGGAAGTTCATATGCCTTGCCCCATCCCTTGCCTTTGGAATTGGCCAGGTCTCCAACTGTAGCCTGGGTAATTTTCATGCCTCTTTTATGACAAATAGACATTCAGAATCTCTGGTGCTTGTTGATGCTGCAGTTTTCATTTTTCCTCCCTTCTCACTGTCTGTCAAGGGACTCAGCGCTGTGAAGATTAGAAGGCTCGCAAAGGCAGTGTGCTGGTGGGAAAATAGGGGAGGGGAGAAAACTGGGAAGGTAAATTGGCACAAGCCTTTTTTGAAGGCAATTTAGTCATCCTTCTCATGTATGCACCCTCTGATCCCTCAATTCCATTTTTAAGAATTTACCTACAGATGTAATCCCAAATGCAAACGAATACATGTATAAGGAGGCTTCATGGAAAATGGAATTAAAAGATAATGAAATTTCCCATGAAAGTCTTGAAGCCCCCTGTGTATATGTATGTATTATCTGTTTACATCTATACATACCTATAGAGGCATGTTACCTATATATACCTAGATCTATCTGTCTAGTCCCACTCCTCATCTCCCAACATGACTAGGTTCCAATTAGGTAAAAATTGGAGTTATGACATGGAGGTATGATGGACTACATTGGATCACAAAATGGAAGATGACATCATTACATTAACTTCCAAACCACCAAAAATCATGGCCCAACTAAGTTGACATACCTTTAGCCATCACAGCCTATATTAATCCCTGCCTTGCTCCTAAGTGCCTATTATTGCCTACTGTTGATCATTAATGAACAAGAAGTCCCACTTTTTTTTACTATTATTTAGATGGAAAATGTGAGATATATTATTAGTGTGATGATTAGTGTGATTGATTAGTGTGATGCGCACGTGTGTGTATATGCACCACACATCAGAAGGCTTTAAATAGTTCATGGGAAAATAGCACTAAAAGGTAGGGGGATTTTTCTATGTTGCCTCGATGGCAGCAGGTTTTATGTGTTACATATATTTCCTTATATTATCTACGTAAAGATGTGCCTAGCGGCATAGAACTATATTATATAAAATCAGACAACTTATTTAACATCTCTGGGCATCAGTTTCCTAGTCTGTAAAAGGTGGCTAATAAGAGTATCAACTTCACAGTTACAGAGACCAGTCAATATATCAGTGCACATAATAAGCAATGACAAAAGTGAATTATTAAGATGAAAATTATTGGAAGGAGGTATTTTAGCAATGCTTAATCCCAAGAGTAGGTTGTAATCAGGAAGGTACAGGGAAGATTCCCATTAAAACAAATTTTACACATCTGAATTGTTAACAATG